CAATTAGAAAAATGGAACTAAAAAACAGGAGTATGATCTTCTACATGTCAGAGGCAATGATCTGTGATCAATATATTGAATGCACTAGATCCTACATTGGGACATTTTGATACAAATACACATACAGTACTGTAGTACTATTACATCCCTTCGAATTACTGTTAAACCTGTCAGGGTGAAAAGTCCAGCGAACAAGAGAAACAAGGTAATCAAACACGTAACTTCCACCAGGAAATGTTTTTTATTTTTATTTTTTATTTTAGGACTTTATCTTATGCCAAACTGGATTTATGTGTTCTGTAAAAATATATAACGTCAATAAATGTATTTCATATCATAACTTTATCCTCGCAATTTCTGTCTTCAAAAGCTGTCAGTTTATTTTTATAAATGTTTCTTCTTCATTGTAAGCTTCAGGGTTTATTTTTACTGACTTTTGACATTAAAAAATGTAATTAAATAAATGTTTTTGCTTTGTTTTTTTTAATTTAGAAGAAAAGTTTGACACTTCTTTGTAGTAATTTGAGCATCCTAATGCTAACTTAGTTGTAAAGCGAGCCTAATGAATGCACACAGCCAGCCGGTCGAGGCAGATGGTCTCCTGTCCTGAGCCTGGTKCTGCTGGAGGTTTCTTCCTGATTAGCAGGGAGTTTYTCCTCTCCACYGTTTGCTCAGGATGGGAGACTGTGATGAAGTGATTCAACACAATCTGYTGSTTTCTTCTTCAGATTTTTTTTATGTACAGTGTCCTGAGACAACGTATGTTGTGATTTGGTGCTATATAAATAAACTGAATTTGAACACAAAACATTTCTAAAAGCCAGTTGTTATATTTTTAGGGGGGAAACACTGATGGACTTTTATGATTTCAAATTAAGGTTGCGCAGATTTGTTTTAGTTTCAGACACTTTTTAACTCTGCTGAAACAAGCRTTCTGTCTGTGTGGTTTCTTATCTGCTCTTTAGTCATCTGTGATGGGAAAGCATTACTTCCTCGTTTATGTTTCATCAGTTCCTGAAGCTTCCATCCTGAGCAGCACTTTGACTCCAGAAGACTCCGGTGGAGGCCTCAACAATCGCCTGGATCAAAGACTACCTGGCAAACAGACCACAGTTTGTGAGACTGAAGGACTGTGTGTCTAACCAGGTGGTCAGCAGCACAGGAGCACCACAGGGAACTGTGCTCTCACCATGTGAGGATTTGGCAAGGACAGATCCAGGGCGCAGGCAGGTTTTCAAAAATGTAACAAAAAGG